ACATAAAAATACTATTTGATTATGATAAAATATACCTTTTAAGTAAAGTGTGTTATTTAAACCCTTATTATAACATATTTTAATAAGTTATGCATATTTAATGGCTTTTTAAGAAATCAATTTTCGATATTAAAAGTAGATTTAATCAATATCCCTTGTAAATATATAAATTAACATCATTGATGATTATATCAAGATAATAATAGTTCTTGATTGCTTAAAATCTTCGTTTTAGAATATGTTTATAAATTAATATTTTTTAATTAGTAAAATTCATGTAAGTATGCATTTTTTTACTATAAAATTAAACTACAAAATGATTTATATAACATAAATAAGTACCAATCAAAAACAGAAGTAAGTGATCATGAAAAAGAAAACATTATGTATTTACTTTATTTGAAGCAACAAAAACTTTATAACAATATGGTTTCAAATCAAAATAAAGAATTTAAATTTTCAATAGCAAATAGATGAAAGCAAGAGTTTAAATGAATTTAATGATGATCGATTACTTCACAAATTTATAAAATTGAAAACAAAAATCCACTAAAAAAAGTTAAAAGAAAAAGCTCGAGAAAAAGCATAAAATAAAGAAGAAAAAGAACTACAAAATTCAATTTGATTGTGATAGAAAACAATTATCTAAAAAAATTTTAAAAAAAGAAAAAATATATAAAAAATGAAAGAAAATGATGACCTAAAACCAAAAAACTTAAAAGAAAACTTCTAAAAAAAGTTAAAATAGAGAAAGATTAAATATTTATTCTTTATTAGAATTTTAATTTAAAATTTTTGTTATATTTATTTTTTTCAAACTTAAATTTATATTTCCAATTTAATTTAGTATAATGATAGTTATTTCAATTTTATTACTATAAAAGTATTAAAATTATTTTTATTATATTAGAATTATAATTTAGTTAACAATTTTCGTGCTCTATAATATATATTTATAACAAATTTCTTGATTTTAAGGGTTTGTAAATAATAATTTAATATTTTATATCATAAAAATTTTTAAGTACTTAAATGAAGATGATTTAAGGATCTATCCCATTTGCTTGTAAGACTGCATTTTGGCATCTTCTGTTTCATGGTTTATGCTTGGAGGAATGTCTTCTTTGATGTTCCAAGTAGGTGGGGAGCTTAATTTTCTCTAAATAATTGAGATTGCCTTCTACAATATAGTAATGATCAAAATTTTGATATGGTATGCATGAATTGGTCTTGCATATAACAACAGCTAAAAGTGACAACCAAGATTAAAAAAGTGCATTATGTACTAATTTTTTAATAAAAAAATATAAGCTAGTCAATTATCTTCTTACCTTGGGAACTATTAGACATGATTCTCTTATGGAATGATCAATATGAAATGCAGTTTGGCCATTTTTGCTCTTGGTTCTTTGATCCACTATTTTATCCTATATCAAGTATCGAACAATCCAAATTTTCCTTCCAATAGTTGCCAAATGCAAAGGCGTATTTCCAACATTATCAAGCTGGTTTATGAGTCTTTCTGTTTCTGTTGTTTCTAGCATATACTTGATGACATTACCTTTCCCACTAAGGATAGCAGCATGTAGAGCATTACGCCCACATAAATCAAGAAGTTTTATAAATTCTGGACATTTTTAAATGATCTTTCTTATAACATTAACATGACCATTGCTAGCTGCAACATGAAGTGGTGAGTGACCATGTTTGTCCAATATATATACAACATTATTATCAAGATCCAATAATTGTTTCACTATTTTATGGTTTCTTAGAGATGATGCATAGTGGAGAGAGGTTCTTCCATGATGGTCAACTTCTTTGATCAACGTGGTTTGGCTCTTAGGAAGGCTTGCATGATACCTTACATTTACACCAAAAATTTGTTAAGATAAAGAAAACCATAAGCACTATCAAAGGGAAATACTTAGCAGAAATCTAATATCTCTATTTTGGTATAGAAATTAGAATTGCAAGAGTTTTGAAATAGTAAGAACTACAATGTTGTGTAAGAGAAATTTGTGAAAAAAATGAACCAAATATGAAAATTACCATAATGGCTTTCAATGACAGCAACGTGCAAAGCTGTTTCGCCATCTGAACCCCCATAAGCTACGAACTTATTTGTTGATGTCATAATTTCATTCACTATCTCTAGCTTTCTTTCTCTGGAAGCAAGATACAAAGGTAATTCACTAGCAAAATTTTCTAAAAAAGACAACTTAGAATCAACCTTTAGCAAGAGTTGAACCACTCTAAGATGAACATTCCTGAGAACTTCATGCAAAACTATGTTGTTTTCCTTGTTAACTATTGTCAGAATCTCAAACTTGCTAATGATTTCATTTTTATTAGTTTCTTTCCAACTTGCCTTTATAGCAATATGTAGAGGTGTATCTCCATCTAAATTCTGTTTTTATCAAAAGTGATCCATGCTTGCCATAAATCTCAATGAAAATAATCTTGTGTCTAAATTTCACAGTTGTGTTTTCTTGGGCAGTTACCTTTAAAAGTAGTATTGGATTTTGATATAGAAAATGTTTGAGGGAACAAACTTTGCCTAACTTGACATATTGGTTGAATTTTGGATCCATTGAATGATCATATCTAGAATTGTTAACAGGAAAAGCTTTTGATTTCCTAACTACATTATAAAAAAAAAAGGTATATTCCCTTTTACAATCTGGGTCTATACAACATTCAGTCAAAATATCATTGGCCTGCCTCTTCATAGATTGAAATAAAGCTTTTGCTTTAACTTTTACTAAATGAAAATAAAATATACATAGATAGAAAATCATTCCAAGTAACAAATTCGATATAATTGGCCAAGATAGACTATTTCAAAGGGTCCAAGTTTGTGACTTGATCAAAGCACAATATTACAAAAAATTGCATGAAGGAAAAAGACAATGGAAAGTTATGTACAAACTTAGAAAGAAAATTTTTTTAAAAAAGTTTTCAAAGGTGACAGCTTCGTGACTTTTCAAGCTATGTACAATTTAATACTCTAAAGTTTTGTTCTTGTTTCTTTGGATAAAAGTTGCTTAAAAGCACAAAACATGAAAACAAATGCTAATCTTCTAAATATAAAATATTTGAGGCTGACCCAATAAAACAGGGCTATCTCATTTTGCAAAAAATTTTTTTATTGCATTTGCTTCGACATTATTCTCAACTACATGACTAATTGAAATTATTGAAACTAATATTTATTTTGTTGCCAAACATAAACCATAAATCGATCAATTTCAAAACACAATAATTCATTTCATATGACACAAAAAATATGTATTTATTAAATTTTGTTCGGATTAATTTTAAAATTGAATCAAAATAATTTGTTAAACAATTTTTATTTTATTTGAATCTACTCGATTTAAAAAATATTATCATTAATAATTATCTCAATAAGTATTTCTAATTTATTAAACATCAAATAAATTGAACAAATTAAATCTCATTCTAATTAATTTGGATTTAAAATTATTTTATCCAAATTATTTGAGAGAGCACAATAAAACACTGTAGCCTATCTTATTTTGAATTCTTATATTTTATTTTTTAATTTTAATTTCTTAAAAAAAGTTAAAATAATAATAATAATAAAAAAAAAAACAAAAAGCTTGAAAAGTCTCAACAATCAAAATTCAAATAATTCCACTGTTGAATTCAAGCCGATTGCCCACTGTATTGTTGTCTAACTTGCCAGCACAAAAATTGTAAAGTCTTTCTCAAATCTCATAGAATCGAAAATTTGAATTAAAGTGTTTCTCAAATCTAAAAAAATTGGGGATTTGAACTGGATCTGGCGAAAAATTGAGGCAAGAGAGGAGGCCAATATTTTTTGAAAAAACTTTTGAAAGGCATTTTTTTCTGGAGGCCAATTTTTGGACGAAGAAGGCAAATGCCAAAAATCCAACAAGCCATTGCCTCCACCGGCAACCATGTGTACCACCATCCCATTCCCTTTCCTTTGCCAGCCGATCACCAACCCAACCCCACCGATCTCCCAACTACCCCCCCAAGGAACAGCTCCCATCTCCCACCTACCCACCACCCACAGCCCTACTGAGATAGCCATCGAAACTGCCAACAAATAAATAGCAACTGTCACAGCCAAAAACAAAAAATAAAAAAACCAAGACAACAAAGCCAAAAAAAAAAATTGCAGACAACCACAGTCCTCTATTGAGGAATCCATCGGGAAAAAAAAAAAGAAGCAGAAAAGGGCCCGTTGAGGATGAAAAGGGGCTTTCGGTCATGGCATTTTTTTTTGTTTTTATGAGTGATTTGGGAGAGTATTTTTAAGATTTTGGGAAAGGAGAGAAAAGAGCTATTTTTTTGGGCGGTGGGAGCGACGGCGGCGTATGGAGGTCAGCGCGGGCGAGGAGACTTTTGGATGATCTGAACCGGTAGAAAGGAAGGATGGAAGGGGAGAAACAACATCCTTTGGTTTCAGGACGACCGGACGGCGAGAAGAGGGTGAACGGCGGTTTAAAATTTCGGCTTAAAGTTTCAGATCTAAGCTATTATGAGGTGATTTGCGAAAAACAGAGGCTGAATCTGAGACAAGAAGGAAGAGAGGAGTCCACGACTGAAATATTGGAGTCAACTGACGCCGAACGGAGGCGGTGAACGGCGGCCGGGTCGGCTACCGTCGCCGGGATCTGGGTTAGGGGAGAGTGGCGGGGTGTGTCTTTTTTGGAGAGAAAATGTTGCATTTGATACAAAAAACGGAAAACTAAGGTTTGATGCTCCTGACCCGACCCTCTTACAATGTTTGTATTTAGCAAAGTGATAAATGAATATGGAATTGTCTAATGATGTTGTAGGTAAGGTATGTGCTACTGACATTTTTATTATTTTGTATATTTTATCTAATTAGAGGTATGTACAGTAAAAGAAAATATTAGAAGAAATTGATAAGTATGAAGGTAGTTTGGAGGCATTTTTTCTTGGCTATGAGAAGCTCGACTTCACATGTAGGTTACCATTCTTCCAAATATCTAATCGTTAGCATGTGCTTATTTTTCATAACTATAATGTTCCATATTAATTGTAGCTCCCATGGTTACATGTTATTGCTTTTTACGCTAAATGTAATTTGTTTTGATTTATTACTCTTTCCAATTCAAATGAGCAATTTTCAATTAAATAAAATTAGTGTTGGAATATTCTTGTGATTGATTTGTGTGGGAATAATGTACATGATTTTCTAGATCTTTTATTTTTATATGTTTAAAATTTAGGTAGAACAATCTAAGAAAGAAATTAGTTCCTTGATGCTTAACAAAGTGTGGAGCAAATATTTGGTTTTTTGGTGCAAGAAAAAATTGAGAATTTTATTAAAGCCCTTAGAATTAGTTCTTTCTCTATTATTTCACTTTTATATGTTTATTTTATTTATTTATTTATTTGTGAATGTCTTCTCCTTGTTTCCTTTATCATTTCTTTGTATTGCATTGCTTAATAGCTATCTTGTTAACTTTAATTTTTAGTAAAAACGTTATTCTCCATTCATGTTTTTTTTTTTTGGTCTTAGAAGTTGTTTTATGATAAGCTGATATTGCTCTTTTTTTATATAATCTCATCTAGCTTTCAGTGAGACAGGAATAACTTACAGGGAGTGGGCACCAGGAGTTAGGGTTTGTTATGCATCATTTTAACATTTTGAGATTTTAACCATTAATCTTACTAACTTCTATGCAATCAAAAAAGTCTTATTAACTTCTAGGTGTTTTGTTTTCTCTTCAATTTTTGTGATTATTTTACTGCATTTTCTTTTTCAGTCAGCAGCATTGATTGGAAATTTTAACAATTGGAACCCTAATGTAGATATTATGAGTCGGGTATGTTATGCTTTCTCGTGCATTGAATTGATATTTTCCATGTCTGTAAGAACTGATCTGCCATTGATGGGTTACTTGACATTAAGTGAAGTTCATAATAATTGAGCAATACTTTAGTAGGTGCACCTACAAGTGATTTTCATTGATTGCTTTCTGAATCTTCTCCTTCTATGCATGACATAAATAATGTAGTCACAAGATGGAGTTGGTGCTGTCAAAATATCAGTAACTCCGCACTTTGTTTCTGAGGCAGCTTTCTCGCAATTTTATATCTATTGATGAACTGCATATCATTTGTGTTGCTTTTAATGAGCTACTGTCTCCCTTGCTTTTCTCTTTGACTCTGAACAATGTGCTCCATGATGTATGCCTTAAGAAATTGTAGTATTTGCAATACCAGCCGTTCATAAGTAAATGCTTATATCTTCTCTAAATGCACATGCTGAAAGAAGTTAAAAGTTATGTAGTTTGGTTTGTTAAAACACTTAGCTTAATGTTGAATCTGAATGTAAACATGTGTGTTGAGTTACATTGGCAGTGATCTATTGTCTATTTTTATATTTAAATAACAGTTTCAAATCAATAACATGGAAGTTGGTTTGATTGCATTTTATTATGATTCTTCACCCATTTCTAAAACCCATTAAGCAGCCCAAATTTGCAATTAAACCAAAATTTATCTCTAGTTTTCATCATACTGTCATTCAAAGAAAATTTGTCCCACAAACACCTTCAGTCTTTATCTTTCATGCTACATTTTGATAAGGTTAATCCATTTCCTAGTTTTCTTAATATTATCAACTCTGAGATGCAGGAGCCAATAATTAGCACATATGCCAACTTTAGAGATTGCTCGTTTTTTATATAATCTCATCTAGCTTTCAGTGAGACAGGAGTAACTTACAGGGAGTGGGCACCAGGAGTTAGGGTTTGTTATGCATCATTTTAACATTTTGAGATTTTAACCATTAATCTTACTAACTTCTATGCAATCAAAAAAGTCCTATTAACTTCTAGGTGTTTTGTTTTCTCTTCAATTTTTGTGATTATTTTACTGCATTTTCTTTTTCAGTCAGCAGCATTGATTGGAAATTTTAACAATTGGAACCGTAATGTAGATATTATGAGTCGGGTACGTTATGCTTTCTCATGCATTGAATTGATATTTTCCATGTCTGTAAGAACTGATCTGCCATTGATGGGTTACTTGGCATTAAGTGAAGTTCATAATAATTGAGCAATACTTTAGTAGGTGCACCTGCAAGTGATTTTCTTTGATTGCTTTCTGAATCTTCTCCTTCTATACATGACATAAATAATGCAGTCACAAGATGGAGTTGGTGCTGTCAAAATATCAGTAACTCTGCACTTTGTTTCTGAGGCAGCTTTCTTGCAATTTTGTATGTATTGATGAACTACATATCATTTGTGTTGCTTTTAATGAGCTACTGTCTCCCCTGCTTTTCTCTTTGACTCTGAACAATGTGCTCCATGATGTATGCCATAAGAAATTGTAGTATTTGCAATACCAGCCGTTCATAAGTAAATGCTTATATCTTCTCTAAATGCACATGCTGAAAGAAGTTAAAAGTTATGTAGTTTGGTTTGTTAAAACACTTAGCTTAATGTTGAATCTGAATGTAAACATGTGTATTGAGTTACATTGGCAGTGATCTATTGTCTATTTTTATATTTAAATAACAGTTTCAAATCAATAACATGGAAGTTGGTTTGATTGCATTTTATTATGATTCTTCACCCATTTCTAAAACCCATTAAGCAGCCCAAATTTGCAATTAAACCAAAATTTATCTCTAGTTTTCATCATACTGTCATTCAAAGAAAATTTGTCCCACAAACACCTTCATCTTTATCTTTCATGCTACATTTTGATATGGTTAATCCATTTCCTGGTTTTCTTAATATTATCAACTCTGAGATGCAGGAGCCAATAATTAGCACAAATGCCAACTTTAGAGATTGCTCTTTTTTTATATAATCTCATCTAGCTTTCAGTGAGACAGGAATAACTTACAGGGAGTGGGCACCAGGAGTTAGGGTTTGTTATGCATCATTTTGAGATTTTAACCATTAATCTTACTAACTTCTATGCAATCAAAAAAATTCTATTAACTTCTAGGTGTTTTGTTTTCTCTTCAATTTTTGTGATTATTTTACTGCATTTTCTTTTTCAGTCAGCAGCATTGATTGGAAATTTTAACAATTGGAACCCTAATGTAGATATTATGAGTCGGGTATGTTATGCTTTCTCGTGCATTGAATTGATCTTTTCCATGTCTGTAAGAACTGATCTGCCATTGATGGGTTACTTGACATTAAGTGAAGTTCATAATAATTGAGCAATACTTTAGTAGGTGCACCTACAAGTTACTTTCTTTGATTGCTTTCTGAATCTTCTCCTTCTATACATGACATAAATAATGCAGTCACAAGATGGAGTTGGTGCTGTCAAAATATCAGTAACTCTGCACTTTGTTTCTGAGGCAGCTTTCTTGCAATTTTGTATGTATTGATGAACTACATATCATTTGTGTTGCTTTTAATGAGCTACTGTCTCCCCTGCTTTTCTCTTTGACTCTGAACAATGTGCTCTATGATGTATGCCTTAAGAAACTGTAGTATTTGCAATACCAGCCGTTCATAAGTAAATGCTTATATCTTCTCTAAATGCACATGCTGAAAGAAGTTAAAAGTTATGTAGTTTGGTTTGTTAAAACACTTAGCTTAATGTCGAATCTGAATGTAAACATGTGTGTTGAGTTACATTGGCAGTGATCTATTGTCTATTTTTATATTTAAATAACAGTTTCAAATCAATAACATGGAAGTTGGTTTGATTGCATTTTATTATGATTCTTCACCCATTTCTAAAACCCATTAAGCAGCCCAAATTTGCAATTAAACCAAAATTTATCTCTAGTTTTCATCATACTGTCATTCAAAGAAAATTTGTCCCACGAACACCTTCAGTCTTTATCTTTCATGCTACATTTTGATATGGTTAATCCATTTCCTGGTTTTCTTAATATTATCAACTCTGAGATGCAGGAGCCAATAAGCACATATGCCAACTTTAGAGATTGCTCTTTTTTATATAATCTCATCTAGCTTTCAGTGAGACAGGAATAACTTACAGGGAGTGGACACCAGGAGTTAGGGTTTGTTATGCATCATTTTAACATTTTGAGATTTTAACCATTAATCTTACTAACTTCTATGCAATCAAAAAAGTCCTATTAACTTCTAGGTGTTTTGTTTTCTCTTCAATTTTTGTGATTATTTTACTGCATTTTCTTTTTCAGTCAGCAGCATTGATTGGAAATTTTAACAATTGGAACCGTAATGTAGATATTATGAGTCGGGTATGTTATGCTTTCTCATGCATTGAATTGATCTTTTCCATGTCTGTAAGAACTGATCTGCCATTGATGGGTTACTTGACATTAAGTGAAGTTCATAATAATTGAGCAATACTTTAGTAGGTGCACCTACAAGTGATTTTCTTTGATTGCTTTCTGAATCTTCTCCTTCTATACATGACATAAATAATGCAGTCACATCAGTAACTCCGCACTTTGTTTCTGAGGCAGCTTTCTTGCAATTTTGTATGTATTGATGAACTACATATCATTTGTGTTGCTTTTAATGAGCTACTGTCTCCCCTGCTTTTCTCTTTGACTCTGAACAATGTGCTCTATGATGTATGCCTTAAGAAACTGTAGTATTTGCAATACCAGCCGTTCATAAGTAAATGCTTATATCTTCTCTAAATGCACATGCTGAAAGAAGTTAAAAGTTATGTAGTTTGGTTTGTTAAAACACTTAGCTTAATGTTGAATCTGAATGTAAACATGTGTGTCGAGTTACATTGGCAGTGATTTATTGTCTCTTTTTATATTTAAATAACAGTTTCAAATCAATAACATGGAAGTTGGTTTGATTGCATTTTATTATGATTCTTCACCCATTTCTAAAACCCATTAAGCAGCCCAAATTTGCAATTAAACCAAAATTTATCTCTAGTTTTCATCATACTGTCATTCAAAGAAAATTTGTCCCACAAACACCTTCAGTCTTTATCTTTCATGCTACATTTTGATATGGTTAATCCATTTCCTAGTTTTCTTAATGTTATCAACTCTGAGATGCAGGAGCCAATAATTAGCACATATGCCAACTTTAGAGATGATGTGCTTCCCCACATTAAAAGACTTGGATATAATGCTGTTCAAATCATGGCTATTCAAGAGCACTCGTATTATGCTAGATTTGGGTATTATCTCCATCAAAATATCAGCTCATCTTTATTTGTTACTGTTTATGTTTGTTAACTTGTACTAAAATGTTATGTTTTGGATGTAAATAGAAATATTTCTTCAAAATTCAGTTCTGGTTATGGAAACTAACCTCTTCTACTTTTAACAAGTTGCATTTAATATGTTGCAGGTATCATGCGACAAACTTCTTTGCACCAAGTAGTCGTTTTGGAACCCCTGATGATCTTAAGTCATTGATAGATAAGGCTCACAAGTTGGGTCTACTTGTTCTTATGGATATTGTGCACAGGTAATAATTGGACTTGCAGGAGAATATCATTTCTAGAAACACACCCTTTAGCTTTATTAGCTGTTACAGTTTTTGTGCAAATGATTTTTCCTAGCTTTTTCGTACCAAAAATGAAAATATAAACTCTTTTTCTTCTTCTTTTCTTGCTTTGACTGTATGGTCATTCTTCCAATAGACTTGATGCAAAAATGGCCATGAGAATTTAGGCTGTTATTGGTCATTACTGTTACTATGTTTTTGGCTTCCTAAAAGGTTTCTAAAGAACAAACCTAAAAGGGAGAAAGCAAAGTCATAATTGTTTGAAAATATATATGATTAAATGCAATAGAATTTGTAGTATAATTGTTCTATTAAAAGAGGAATCATAGAATTTTGTTCTACAAGAGATTATATTTTTTATTTTTAATTCTTTTAAAGTATTATTGTCTTTTCTACCCAAATGTACTTTCTACTTCTGGAAGCAAAAAGCTAGTAGCAAAAACAACTACCAAATGGAATCTTACTGTATTGTTTACAATGAAAGTTTTTCATCTTTTGCATGTTGTTAATGTTAAATTCTTTTCTAAGCTGTAGCAAATTTTTATTCAAGTATTTGCTCTATTGCTTTGAGTAAGTAATCTTTTGCTATAAGTTTCAGTTAATTTTTATTCTTTAGTTTTAAATTAAGGTTATTAAATTAATTTTGTCATCCATCTTTGTGTCTAACTGATGTTTTGATGAGGTCACGCCATCGCATCTAATAATGTTAGATGGATTGAACATGTTTGATTGAACCAATGCTCATTACTTCCACTCAGGGGTCAAAGTTGTCCCACTGGATGTGGGATTCTTGCCCTTTTTAATTGTGGAGCTGGGCCAGTTGGGTACTTCTATTGAAACTTCTCTTAAACAATAGCTAGTTGAAGATTTTGGCTTCCTTCCCTCCTATTGTTTGTAATATTTAATTTTTAGTTGTTGTTTAGGGTACAAAGGTTCTTCTTTCAAATGCAAGATGGTGGCTGGAAGAATACAAGTTTGATGGGTTCAGATTTGATGTTTGTGACTTCAATGAATGTACACCTATCATGGGTTTGTAATTAATATTTGAGTGAGTTTCAGATTTCTATTCTGCTTGGTGTTATATAATAAGTTACTCACATGTTTAGATGTTAATTATCAAAGTTTTGACTTTATGTTATATAGAGAAGAAGAACTGATGTAACATTTGGTTCTTGTAAGCGGTGAAACATCATTTCTCTATGTTTGTTTCTTAGCTAAATTCTCTTGAGGACTAAAGGTTTTTAGTGTCATTGCATCTTTATAATGTATTATCCTGGCTTAACCTTTGTTTTCTTGAACTTGCTGTAGGTAGCATTTACTAGAAACTACAATGAATACTTCAGAAATGCAACTGATGTAGATGCTGTTGTCTATTTGATGCTGGTTAATCATATGATTCATGGGCTATATCCTGGGGCTGTCACCATTGGTGAAGATGTATGTTCTATAACTCCTCTTTGAGTCACATTGAGCATACTTCGACTTATAATCATTTATCTATTCTAGAATTATGATGTCTGCTTTAAGTCCGCTGTCTCTTCTACAGCAATATTTGTTGAATTGGGTTGCATAAATGGAATGGGGTTTCAATACTTTTTTATGTGATCCATGAGGATGCTAAGTGTAGAAATGGTTTTGAAAAAGTTTGCACACGTACTTGTGTGTGCGAAGCCTACCAAACATTTGTGTATTGTACATGTTTTTCTAATTCTCTACTGCTTCATCACTTCTCTTCATGCATCAATTGAATCCATATGCCATGAATAAGTAGGTTACCTTGCTAGTAGTTAAGTGTTTTGATATTGTAGAATGAACTAAAGAGTTGTTAAAAATGCTTGTTGTAAATTGAACTAATTTTTATTGTAGACCAAGAGTTCTGGAAACATAGTAACTAAAGATGCCAAAAATGAAAATTCCAAAAACACTTGAAGGGAACAAACAAGCATCTCTAGAAATCTTAAAATATCCTTGCTTTTCACATATTTCATCTTTTGTGCAAATAATTCACCTAAAGAGCTACTAGCAAAATAAAAGGTAATTTATGTTTTACCCTTTAGAAATATTAGCACAGTAAGGAACATTTAATAGATAAAATGTTTATATTGGAGTGATTTAGTTGCAGATTTTCATATATTATTTGCACAAATAACATTCTTTAAGTTCTATTAATTTTGAAAAGGAAAAGAAACAATAGTTGAAGGTAGACTTCCACCATCTTAAAATGTCATCTGTCATAATAATCAATTCTCCACTGCTTTTCTTTTTGACTCAGACCCATGTGCTCTAAGAAGTATGCCTTAAGAAACTGTAGTATTTGCAATACCAGCTGTTCATAAGTCAATGATTATCTTCTCTAAATGCACATGCTGAAAGAAGTTAAAAGTTATTTAAGTTTGGTTTGTCAAAACACTTAGCTTAATGTTAAATCTGAATGTAAACATGGATCTTTTTATATGTATGTGGGCATGAATATTCTTCTTAATGGCCCAAAGATTGGGTGTATAGTTTGGTGCAGTTGATATTCTTAAAAGCTCCAAGTAGAAAAGTTAAGAAGATAAACGTTATCAAAGTTTTTATAATTACGTGCCAACCTTGCTTATGTAACAATTAATTGTATCAGCTAATTCATATATTTAATGCCATGCAGTCTCAAGTATAAAAGGGAAGGTGACTGTGTTCTAAGTGCTTAGAAAGCTGTGTTGATTTACATTGGTAGTGATTTGTTGTCTATTTCTATATTTAAATAACATCTAGTGTTTAATTATACAAATATTAATGGTTTTTTAACAGAATGAGTTTGGTGTCTGGGAGATCTTTTGGCCTAATAATGCTGACGATTCACCAGCAATTCCCCTTGGTTCTCAAGTGAAGGTAAATTACCTGTAGATGAACATAAGTTTGGCTCTTGAAACTTATTGTGCTTACATTCAAATGCTACTTGTTTATTATTTCCTTTTTCCACTTTTTAAGTCAGAGTAAAAAGAAACTATAAAAACTTGCAACTTTTTCCCTGTAGATCAACAAGGTATTTAACCTTTTGATCATGATCTGTGGACCAGGAACCTTAGAGTATGATGCTTTTTTTTAACACTGATCCTATTGCATGTGTATATGGTTTGACTAAATCATTGATTGTACTACAACCTTCACAATAATTAATTACTAGAATTCATGACATAAAGGCATTGAAGTATTTAGTGGGGTGGTCTCCAAGTCAAGCAAAATTATTCAAGGTAGCTGAGTTCAAATCCAACTAACTCCCGTCCTAAAAGGAAGGGAGAAAAAAAGAAAAGATGAAGATGAAAAAAATCCATTTTTCTGGTGGACTGTTATGATCATGTCAATTATCGTTCATCCAAACCTCTTTTTCCATGTGTACATCTTAAGTTTTTGACCATATAATTGTAGATTCGTATGGAAACTCCATCTGGGATTAAAGACTCCATTCTTGCTTGGATCAAGTTCTATGTTCAAGCACTAGGTGAAATCCCATACAACGGAATATACTATGATTCGCCAAAAGAGGTATAGTTGGTGGCTATTTGCTCTTTTGGTTTTGTTGGAAAGATTAGATAACTTATTCTTTTCAAACTATAAGCAGCTGAAATATTTGGAGCTTGGGGAAAATCAGAAATACCAACTAATGTTTATGATAATTTTAAAATGACTACATGTGCGTGAAGATACATAGACAAAAGCATGCATGCATGCCTGCACACAAATAATGAATTTCTTATTCATCTTAGAGTAGGTTGTTTTGATGAACGTCTTCCTTTATAATGTTAATATTAACATCACTGCCCTTAAAGGGTTTTTAAGAAAACAATTTTGATTGGTTCTTTTTCATATATAAAGTCAGTTTTTAAATTGTGTTCTCGCTTGTTCAAGTTTAATCACTGCACAGCACAGTCAACTTAGTTTAGTCTGTAATATATGTCTTATCTCAAATTTTTGTACTCTCTAACCTGACTAATGATTTTTATACTGTAATAGGAAAAGTATGTATTCAAACACCACTAGCCAAAAAGACCAAAATCACTTAAGTCTATGAATCATATGTTGGAATGAGTAGCATGGTATGCGTCTTCCTTTCCCTTGCATGTAGCAAATTGTTATTCAACTCTTTTGTCTCTGCACTGAATTGCATTTCCTTGATTTATTTAATCTTAAAAGAGGAAACCTTAAGTTTGATAAAAAGCTTCACTAAATGCTATCATGTGTGGGATCATATTTTTTATGCTATTTCTTTCAACCCTTCCTATGAAGTGTTCTTGCAAGGTTTTGAGACTAAAAAGTAAAGTAGGAGGTTTTATAAGACAATACATTTTACAAAAAAACTTATCTTAATATATGTATTTAAACTATCAATTTTAACCCCCCCCCCCCAAAAAAAAAAAAAAAAAAGGAAGATAGAGAGAGATTTTGACTTGCATTGAACATCTTTAAGGGCATCAAACAGTATAGCTGTCTGGAAAGGCTTGTAAATTTTGAAACGGAGCTTTCCTACATCCCATAGGCAGGGTGGCCTCTCTTAAAGAGAAAATCTGTCAAATTAAGTTAGCAAAAAGCCACGTAAGTGTATACGGCCTACTTTTCGTGTTCTTTGGTTAAAAGGAAGTTCTTCCATTTGGATTATACTAAATAATGAGTATTACTTTAGTTAATGATAATCCAAATGCCTAACAGCTAGTGACTTGGGTCTCTGTTAACTGCTTTCTGTATAGAAATATCTTAAATAGCAGTTTCAAATCAATAACATAGAAGTTGGTTTGATTGCATTTCATTATGATTCTTCACCCATTTCTAAAACCCATTAAGAAGCCTAAATTTGCAATTAAACTGAAATTTATCTCTAGTTTTCATCATACTGTCATTCAAAGAAAATTTGTCCCACAAACACCTTCAGTCTTTATCTTTCATGGTACACTTTGGTATGGTTAATCCGTTTCCTAGTTTTCTTAATATTATCAACTCTAAGATCAGGAGCCAATAATTAACACTTATGCCAACTTTAGAGATGATGTGCTTCCCCGCATTAAAAGACTTGGATATAATGCTGTTCAAATCATGGTTGTTCAAGAGCACTCAGATTATGTTAGATTTGGGCATTATCTCCATCAAAATATCAGCTCATCTTTATTTGTTGCTATTTATGTTTGTTAACTTGTACTAAAATGTTATGTTTTGGATGTAAACAGAAATATTTCTTCAGAATTTAGTTTTGGTTATGGAAATTAACCTCTTCTACTTTTAACAAGTTGCATTTAATATGTTGTAGGTGTCATGTGGCAAACTTTTTGCACCAAGCAGTTGTTTTGGAACCCCTGATGATCTTAAGTCATTGATAGATAGGGCTCATAAGTTGGGTCTACTTGTTATTATGGATATTGTGCACAGGTAATAATTGGACTTCCAGGAGAATATCATTTCTAGAAACACATCCTTTAGCTTTATTTGTTGTTGTAGTTTTTGTGCAAACGGTTTTTCCTAGCTTTTTCGTACCAAAAATGAAAATATACTCTTTTTCTTCCTTTTTTCTTGTTAGACTGTATGGTCATTCTTCCAGTAGACTTGATGCAAATATGGCCATGAGAATTTAGGCTGTTATTGGTCCTTACTCTTACTATGTTTTTACTAGTTGCTTTTGGCTTCCTAAAAGGTTTCTGAAGAACCAACCTAAAAAGGAGAAAGCAAAGTCATAGTTGTTTGAAAATATATATGATTAAATGCAATAGAATTTGCAGTATAATTGTTCTATTAAAAGAAGAATCGTAGTATTTTGTTCTACAAGAAATTATATTTTTTATTTTTAATTCTTTTATAGTATTATTGTCTTTTCTACCCAAATGAACTTTCTACTTCTGGAAACAAAAAGCTAATAGCAAAAACAACTACCAAATGGAATCTTACTGTATTGTTTACAATGAAAGTTTTTATCTTTTGCATGTTGTTAATGTTAAATTCCTTTCTAAGTTGTAGAAAATTTTTATTCAAGTATTTGCTCTGTTGCTTTAAGTAAGTAATCTTTTGCTATAAGTTTCAGTTAATTTTTATTCTTCAGTTAAATTAAGTTATTAATTAATTTTGTCATCCATCTTTGTATCTAACTGATGTTTGACCAATACAGCCATGCATCTAATAATGTGTTAGATGGATTGAACGTGTTTGATGGAACTGATGCTCATTACTTCCACTCGGGGTCAAAGGGTCACCACTGGATGTGGGATTCTCGCCCTTTTAATTATGGAAGCTGGGAAGTATTTACTTCTACTGAAACTTCTCTTAAACAATAGCTTGTTGAAAGATTTTGGCTTCCATCCTAGTGTGTGTAAATATTAATTTTTACTTGGTGCTTTAGGTACAAAGGTTTCTTCTTTCAAATGCAAGATGGTGGCTGGAAGAATACAAGTTTGATAGGTTCAGATTTGATGTTGTGACTTCAATGATCTACACCCATCATGGGTTGCAGGTAATGTCTGAGTGAGTTTGCAGATTTTCTATTTTGCTTGGTGTTATATAATAAGTTACTCGCATGTTCAGATGTTAATTATCACAGTTTTGACTTTATGTTATATAGAGAAGTAGAACTGATGGAACATTTGGATCTTGTAAGTGGTGAAGCATCATTTCTCTATGTTTGTTTTTTAACTAAATTCTTTTGATGACTAAAGGATTTTAGTGTCATTGCATCTTTATAATGTATTATCCCAGCTTAACCTTTGTTTTCTTGAACTTGCTGTGGGTAGCAATTATTGGAAACTACAATGAGTACTTCGGATATGCAACTGATGTAGATGCTGTTGTCTATCTGATGCTGGTTAATCATATGATTCATGGGCTATATCCTGAGGTTGTCACCATTGGTGAAGATGTATGTTCTATAACTCTTCTTTGAGTCACATTGAGCTTCCTTCGACTTATAATCATTTATTTGTTCCAAAATTAAGATGTCCGCTTTAAGTCCCCTGTCTCTTCTATAGCAACATTTGTTGCACTGGGTTGCGTAAATGGATCGGGGTTTCAATACTTTTTTACGTGATCCATGAGGATGCTAAGTGTAGAAATGGTTTTGAAAAAGTTTGCACACGTACTTGTGTGTGCGAAGCCTACCAAACATTTATGTATTGTACATGTTTTTCTAACTCTCTACTACTTCATCATTTCTCTTCATGCATCAATTTAATCCATATGCCATGAATAAGTAGATTTCCCTGCTAGTTGTTAAGTGTTTTGATATTGTAGAATGAACTAAAGATTGTTAAAAATGCTTGTTGTAAATTGAACTAATTTTTATTGTAGACCAAGAGTTATGGAAACATAGCAACTAAAGATGCCAAAAATGAAAATTCCAAAAACACTTGAAGGGAACAAACAAGAATATCTAGAAACTTTAAAATATCCCTGCTTTTCACATATTTCATCTTTTGTGCAAATAATTCACCTAAGGAGCTACTAGCACAATAAAAGGTAATTTATGTTTTACCCTTTAGAAATATTAGCATAGTAAGGAACATTTAATTGGTAAAATGTTTATACTGGAGTGATTTAGTTGCAGATTTTCATATATTATTTGCAAAAATAACATTCTTTTAGTTCTATTAATATTGAAGAGGAAAAGAAACAATAGTTGAAGGTAGACTTCCACCATTTTAAATTGTCATTTGTCATAATAATCAATTCTTCCCTGGTTTTCTCTTTGACTCAGACCATGTGCTCTAAGATGTATGCCTTAAGAAACTGTAGTATTTGCAATACCAGTTGTTCATAAGTCAATGCTTATATGTTCTCTAAATGCACATGCCGAAAGAAGTTAAAAGTTATTTAAGTTTGGTTTGTCAAAACACTTAGCTTAATGTTAAATCTGAATGTAAACATGGATCTTTTTATATGTATGTGAACATGAATATTCTTCTTAATGGACCAAAGATTGGGTGTATAGTCTGGTGGAGTTGGTATTCTTAAAAGCTCCAAATAGAAAGTTAAGAAGATAGACGTTGTCAAAGTTTTTATAATTAAGTGCAAAAGTCACCTTGCTTATGTAACAATTAATTGTATCAGCTAATTCATATATTTAATGCCATGTAGTCTCAAGTATAAATGGGAAGGTGACTGTGTTCTAAGTGCTTAGATAGCTGTGTTGATTTACACTGGCAGTGATCTATTGTTTATTTCTATATTTAAATAACATCTAGTGTTTAATTCTACAAATATTAATTGTTTTTTAATAGAATGAGTTTGGTGTCTGGGAGATATTTTGGCTAATAGTGCTTATGGTTCACCAGCAATTCCCCATGGTTCTCAAGTGAAGGTAAATTACTTGTAGATGAACATAAGTTTGGCTCTTGAAACTTATTGTGCTTACATTCAAATGCTACTTGTTTATTATTTTCTTTTTCCACTTTTTAAGTCAGAGTAAAAAGAAACTATTAAAACTTGCAACTCTTTCCCTATAGATCAACAAGGTATTTAACCTTTTGATCATGATCTGTGGACCAAGAACCTTTAAGTATGATGCTTTTTTTTAACACTGATCCTATTGCATGTGTATATGGTTTGAATAAATCATTGGTTGTAGTACAACGTTCACAATAATTAATTACTAGAATTCATGTCATAAAGGCATTGAAGTATTTAGTGGGGCGGTCTCTAAGTCAAGCAAAATTATTCAAGGTAGCTGAGTTCAAATGCAACTAACTCCTATCTTAAAAGGAAGGGAGAAAGAAAGAAAGGATGAAGATGGAAAAAAAAATATTTTTTTGGTGGACTGTTATGATCATGTCAATTATCATTCATCCCAACCTCTTTTTCCATGTGTCCATTTTAACTTTTTCATATAATTGTGGATTCATATGGAAACTCCATCTGGGATTAAGGTCTCCATTCTTGCTTGGATCAAGTTCTTTGTTCAAGCACCAGGTGAAATCCCATACAACGGAATATACTATGATCTGCCATAAGAGGTATAATTAGTGGCTGTTTTATCTTTTGGTTTTGTTGGAAAGATTAGATAACTTAATATTATTGACTCATTTATTGTTCATATCATGTGTACTTATATGAATATGATTGAGTTTTATTGGACATGGTTACAACATGAATTAAGTAAGTGATTTTCTTATAATGCTTATGTTTGTTTTAAATCATTATTGATTATGGATTATAATTTGTATGGATATATCTATGCATTTGTGGTGAAATTTTCTTGATTATGTTTTTTATGATAAGTATGCCTTTTTTGAGTTTTTTGAATTCTATAGGGCCTTAAATTAGTTTTGACATATTTTTTGATGATTTGCTGAATATATATTAATATTAAATGTCTATTTTGTATTTATGAATAATTTAAAAAGTTTGATTTTTGTATATTATATGAGAACTTTAACTTTAATGATAATATTGTGATATATGATTCTTAACTTGATATATGATTTTTAGTAAGTTTATATATATATATACACACACACACACACACACATACACACATATATCTCTTTTTTAATTGAAAAATTGGGTTTAGTGAACAAAATTTTATTTGTCTATAATGATTTAGAATATGAAATTCATTTTGAATAATTTGTATAATTTTTATCAATTGATTTACTTGATATTTCTAATAAAAATTTTTGTTAAGAAATTTTTTTAAGTTTATGTTATGAGAACTTAAAATAAGCATGAATTGATATTTTTAGAATTTTAAGTGGAACAGGGAAAGCAGATTTTTATCAATTAAGTTTAAGTACATAAAAAATTAGCTTAAAAATGTGAAATGAAGGATTCAAAGCTTCATTTAACTACAAGCACAATAACATAACTTGATAAGGATGGAGGTAATTATATTGAATTTATGTTATGTGTTTATGATTTATAATGTTTAATATATGGTTTGATAAATGCTTATTTGATATATACAAAATAAGATATTATATTTGAATTTGTGAATAATTTGCACAAATTAATCAAGTTACTTGATAGAATTTGTTTTAATTTTATTAAATGCTTGGATTGATTAATATGCATGTTTATTTTTTTATTACTTTGATTAATAGTTTTTATTATATGAATATTCGTTTGAGTTTTTGGACCTGGATATGAGTTATAGAGATTGATTTTTTTGAACATGTTCATTTATTGAGATCATTGAGATAGCATGTACCATATTATATCTAAATATTTGTATCTTTATTGGTATACTGCAATATGTGATTTGAAATGTTTTTACATATGTTTGTATGATTTTAATTGAAAAATATGTTTGATTGTATTTATGTACTTGCATATGTTTAGATTAAGAATATTGTTTTATATTGAAATAATTTGGATTATATTTAAATAACTATATTTTCATTATTTTTTTGCTATAGCATATATGTTCAGCATGCTCAAAAAATCATGATTGTATAATTCTTTATTATAATATGATGATTAAATATTTGTTTTAGATAGGATATGCTTATGAAAGAATGTTATTATGCATGTATTGATTGAACATTTCATATGCTTAAAATATATTGTGATTTTTAAAAGTTTGTGAATAAAATAGCTAATAATTGATAATAATTAGTATCAAAATTGCTAAAGAATTTTTTAACTTTCATTGACATTTGTTTATGTACTTATCTTTGATATAGCTTGTATTTTTCATACAAAATTGTCTTAAATTGATTAATTCTTATTTTAAAAAAGGGAAAAAATCTTAGAATATAATTTTGCTTGATTTGTTTTCTGATAATAATTAGTTTGATTTGTGATAATATATCTTTAACAATTGATATGAACTTGTATACATATGCTTAAATTTTTACTTAATTGTTATTGATGTTTTAAGTTTTAAGTACATCTTATGATAACATGATTTATGAGTAGTTTACATATTATTTATTATTTTTTTGCTCATAAATTTCATGTGGTTAGGTTGAATGAATGATTTTGTGCTATAACATTTTAATTGAAAACACATATGCTTTTGTACTTGAATATATGTATGTTAATTTTATTGTGCATATTACACTTGATTACATACATTCAAAATACTTTTAATATTATTGGTATCAAGTATTTTATCTCATGTCTTGAATTGATTTTCTTTTTTTTATAATGAAAAAAAAAAGAAAGGTTATAAATATTTTTTCTTGTATGTATATAGCATTTGGTATAAGAGTTTTAACATAATTTTTTTTTTGTTTATTTGCTTATCTTTTTGCTATGACAAAAAAGGAGAAAAATATCATATGGATAAATTTGCTTGTGCTTGACATGCATATGTTTGATTATGATTATTTGATATATTGAGTTACGTTGGATTAAGATGTGTTAATTAAATTGGAGTTTTGTCATGCAAAGTTTAAGGGAAATTTTTCACTATAATTCATATGAATTAGGGGAGTTTTGTCATGCAAAGTTTAATTCGCTTGATAAAAAAAATTCACTATAATTTGTATACAATGAATTAGGTGATGAATATTATATAGATAGAAAGCTTTTTAAGTCTAGTTTTTAAATCTTCAAATGATTTTTGATTTGAAATTGTATAATTCAAAAAATGATCAAATTAACGAGTAGAGTGTAAAACTGAATACAACTGTCTAGCTTGATTAGATCGATCTCCTAGCTAAACCAATCGATTCCCTCTTTAAAGGATCGATTGGTTTTTAGTCAAAAAGCAAATTTGGTTTCATAAAGCAAAAAGGGACGATCACTTTACACGAGGGATCAATCATCCTAATGACAAGATTGATCCCCTCATGAAGACAATTGATCTATTCACGCAAAATGTCACCAAATTTATTCTGGCTATTTGAATGGGTTTGGAATCACAATGTGCCAAGCTTATGTTACACCTTTGACATTTGATTTTGACTTTGACTTTAAATTTTTCAATAATTTTAAAAATAATAATAATATAATTATTTTTTTAATTAAAAATGATATGCATTATGGATATTTATTTGATTATATTTTTAATCTTAGAATAAGTGTTTATGTTAAAATTAAGAATTTGTTTTCAATGTTTGAACTATTATTTTTCATTCAATTTCATTACTTTTATAAATCTCATATGTACATATGGATGAAAATTATCTCTTGATGCAATGCATATATGGTCAAAATACTTGATTATTGAAAAATGCTAAATCGATTATCTTTTAATTCTTTGTGAAAATTTTGAAATTTATTTTGTGCTTGATTATTATGTCAATTTATTGGATTGTCTATGATTTTGAATTGTGATGAAATATTTTTGAAATGTGCTTGCTCTTATGTTTAATTGATTTATTTTTTGATTTGTAATTTTAATTTGATGCATGATGAGCTAACTGATCTAAAAAATGTATATATTATTGGCTTATCTATTGTTCATGTCATGTGTGCTTATATAAATATGATTGAGTTGTTTTTGACATGCTTGTAATATGGATTAAGTGATTCTTTTATACTGCATGTGTTTGTCTTAAGTTATTATTGATTATCGCCTATAATTTGTGTAAACATATTTATGCTTTTGTGATGAAATTTTTTTGATTACGTTTTTTATGATAAATGTCTTTTTTAAGTTTTTTTTAATTATATAGGGCTTCAAATTGGTTTTGACAATTTTTTGTGATTTACTGAATATATATGAATATTGAATATGTCTATTTTGTGTTCATAAATGATCTAAAATGTTTGATTTTTTTACATTACATAAGAACTTTAGCTTTAGTGTCAATATCATGATATTTGATGCTTACCTTGATACATGGTCTTTAGCTTAAGTTTATATATATATCCTTTCTAATCGAAAAATTGAGCTTGGTGAACAAAATTTTTTTTGTCAATAATGACTTAGAATATGAAATTCATTTTGAACAATTAGCATAATTCTTATCAATTGATTTTTTGATACTTCTAATGAAAATTTTTTGTCAAGAAATTTTTTTAAGTCGATGCTATGAGAACTTGAAATGAGCATGAACTTATATTTTTTGGATTTTAAGTGAAACAAGCAAAGCAAGTTATCTTTATCAATCAAGTTTAAGTACATCAAAGATTAGCTCAAATGATATGGAATGGAGGATTCCAAATTTCACTCAACTATAATAAGTACAATAACATAGCTTGATAAAAAATGAGGTAATTGTATTGAATTTATGTTATGTGCTTATAATTTTATAATATTTAATACATGGTTTTAATAAATTATTACTTTGATATGTGCAAAAATGAAATATTATGTTTGAATTTGTGAACACTTTGCATAAATTAATCATCAAGTTACTTGATAAAATTTGTCTTAACTTTGTTAAATGCTTAGATTGATTAATATTCATGCCTATTTTTTTATTATTTTGATTAATAGTTTTTATTGCATGAATATTCGTTTGAATCTTTGTACATGGATATGAGTTAAATATATTGATTTCTTTGAATATGTTAATTGATTGAGATTATTGAGATAGTATGTACCACATTATGTCTAAATGTTTGTATCTTTATTGATATATTGCTATATGTGATTCGAAATGTTTTTGCATGTGCTTGTATGATTTTGATTGAAAAATATGTTTGAATTGTATTTATGCATTCACATATGTTTGGATTAAAAGTATTACTTTGCATTGAAATAATTTGGATTATATTTGAATAATTATGCTGTCATTATTTTTTTGCTATAGCATGTGTTCATCATGTTTGAAAAATCATGATTGTACAATTCTTTGTTATAACATGATCATTGAATAGTTGTTTTGGATATGATATGCTTATAAAAAAAATGCTATTATGCATGTGTTGATTGAACATTTCATATGGTTGAAATATATTGTGATCCTTAAAAGTTTGTGACCAAAATAGCTAACAATTGGTATCAAAATTGCTAAAGAATTTTTTAACTTTCATGTACACTTGTTTATGTGCCTATCCTAGATGTAGCTTGTACTTTTCATGTAAAATTGTATACGTCTTAAATTGATTAATCTTTATTTTGAAAAGGAAAAGAAATCTTATAATATAATTTTGTTTGATTTGTTTTCTGATAACAATTGGTACACTTTGTGATAACATATCTTTAACAATTGGTATCTTTAAGAATTGGTATGAGCTTGTATGAATGTGCTTGAATTTATGTTTAATTGTTATTGATGTTTTAGGTTGTAAGCACATCTTATGATAATATGATTTATGAGTAGGTTACATATCATTTATTATCTTTTCGGTCATAAATTTTATGTGGTTAGGTTGAATGAATGATTTTGTGTTATAACGTTTTAATTGGATACATTTATGCTTTTGTACTTTGACATTAAAATGTTTGCATATCATACAACTTGGATTGAGATTAAAGAGGATTTATCTAAAAATAAGATGGACCTATCATTGGTCCAAATCTACTAAATAAATGCATAAAATAAGGTTGGCCGGAGTAAAAAGATTGTGTTTACATTAGCTAGAAAAGAAGAGCATGAAGGTATATGTGATTGTGATCAGATTCATTATCATGTAATCTACAAGAGTGAATGGTCAAAAGATTGCGTTCACTAGAAAATCTCTTGATTTTAGGCATGATTTTTGCAATTCAATCTGGAAGTTCTCATGTTATGAGGGATATTCCTAGTCTCTTTATTTGCTATTATTCTTTGGTTGAAAGTAGAATAGAGTTTTCTTTACCCATATGCAATCTTTTATATTGTTCTTCAAGTTCTATATCTCTTAGGTGGATTTCTTAGAGTGGTGAACTTCTATTGTTCTATATCTTTGATTAGAATTCTTATGATGATATTTTTGTATCCCTTAGTTTTTAGTCTTGGTGGTGAACTTTTATCATTTTAATCCAATAATAATATTTTACCATTATTCAAATCCTTGTGAGATTTTTTTTGTGAGTTTTTCTATTTGCAGTTAATTTCACATCTCAAACATCAATTCCTGACATCAAATTGGTATCAAAGTTATGGCAAGTCATCATCGTTAAGCACCATCAGAAGATGATGAAGCCAACATTGATTTTGTAACAACTACCAACGTTGACCCAAGGGATGCCCTCATAGAGGAGATGCGACAACAGATCTTTCAACTACAACATCAGTTGCATATACAAGAAGGGAAAGGGGAGATAATGAGGCAACGAAGGAGAAACGAAAAAGATGAAAGAGAAACCAATCCATACCATGGAAATAATAGTGATTATGATGATAACACTCTATCTCACCTACGGTAAGTTGGAGATTATCTACCCGAAAACTAACTTCAACCTAGCATCTTCAATCTGAAGATAGAAATTTTTGAGTTCAAGAGGAAAATGCAACTTGAAGAATTATTAGATTGGCTACACACGATGGAATGTATATTTGAATACCATAATGTCCCCTAAAAATGGCAAGGTGAAGCTAGTGGCCATCAAAAGAAAGCATGCATCCTTTTGGTGGAAAAATCTAAAGAAACAAAGGGAAAGAAAAGGTAGAAGAAAAATTGCAACTTAGGAGAAGATGAAAAAAGAGTTTAAAAGAAAGTATTTCTCAGACAATTTTAGGCAAGATGTCTTCCTTAGGCTCCATAACTTGAAGCAAAAGCATCTTTTGGTGGAAAAATACATTAACTAGGGAAGCACGTCCAAGACTAGTGTTTCTACAAAACCTCCTTCAAATCTAACCCTAAAGAATGAAGGAGCCATTCCTAACAAACCGTAATCTAGCATTGTCAACATTCAAACCTAAAGAGACTTCAAGTGTCAAGGAGTTTGGGCATATACATTATGAGTGTCCAAATCTCAAGATAGTTATGTTGATTGAAGATGAAGATCTTGAATATGTTGATAGAGAACCTACTAAAGTATCCCAGGATCTTGAAGAAGATGTTAAGGGGACCTATGGTGATCTTGAATCCTCACTTGTTATACAATACAATATGAGTGATGTGCATGTAGACGAAGAAGATTGGTTGCACAAGAATAAATTTCACACTAAAAGCACTGTTCATGATGTATGTGATGTTATGATTAACAGTGCAAGTTTTGAAAATGTTGTTTCTACTTTTATGGTACAAAAATTAGACCTCAAAATAGTGGATCACTTCCAACCATATAAGCTGTCTTGGCTGCAAAAAGAGAATAAAATCAAGGTTAGCAAGAGGTGTTTGGTTTTTTTTTTCGTAGGAAAGCAATACAGGGATGGAGTGTGGTGTGATGTAGCTTGCATAGATGCTTGCTTCAATGAAGAGGAAAAACCAATTGCCTTCTTTAGTGAGAAGCTTAATGATTCTCGACAGAAATACTCAATTTATGATAAGAAGTTCTATGCTATTTATAGAGCTTTATTCCTTTGGAGTCAGTATCTCTTTGCCAAATCATTTATTCTTAATTATTGCCCTTATCATCATTCCCAAACCGATGAGAAAATTGAAGTTATCAATCATAGCTTGTAAATTTTCTAGGAAACTAAAGTTATCAATCATTGCTTGAAAATTTTCTTGAGGAGTTATACAGAAAAAAAACTAAAACAATGGGAACTTGTTTTACTACAGGTGAAGTTTGACTACAATCATTCATTAGGTCAAACCATTGGTTGCAGCTCTTTTGAAATTGCTCTTGGTAAAAATGTAATCCATCCTTTGAATTTAATTCAACTTTAATTAAACTAACTAGCATTTTGATAGAGATGTAAAAAAAAGAGCCAAAAGTATAAAAATATTTCATGAACAGGTTCAGAATAGAATTTTACAGAAAAATGAGAAATATAAAAGAGTAATAATCATGCATCGAAGACATGTGAAGTTCAAGGAACATGATTTGGTGTGAGATTACTTGTACAAAGAAAGATTTTCACAAGGAAAGTTTGGCAAATTACTCCTTAAGGCAGATGGTCCATTTAGAATTTTCCAATGCATTGGAAAGAATACCTATAAGATAGAGTTTTCTGACACTTATGAAGTGTCTTTCACCTTTAATGTTGATTTGTCATCCTACCATGGTAAGAATACTAGTTCAAACTTGAGAACAAGTTTTTTTCAACCAGAGGAGATTGACATTAGAGTGTCTGCACATCATACAACTTGAGTTGAGACTAAAGTAGACATATCCAAAAATAAGATAGGCCTATCCTTGGTCCAAATACACTAAATAAATACAGAATTAAGGTGGGCTGAAATACAGAGATTGTGTTCACATTAACTTGAAAAATAATCTAAAAAATTGCTTAAGGATAAAGAAAACTCTAGTCTACTTTCTACCAAAGAATAACAGCAAATAATAAACTAGGAACATCCCTCATAACATGGGAACTTTTAGATTGAATTGCTCGAATCATGCTTAAAATCAAGGGATTTGCATGTGAACACAATATTCTGTAATGTGAACGCAATCTTCTGCCCATTTACTCTTATAGATTATATGATAATGAATCTAATCACAATCCTATCTACCTTCATGCTTTTCTTTTTCATCTAATGTTTTTGGAGCTTTTATGCTTTGCTTTGAAAATCATTTCTGTTGGAGTTGAGCTTTAAAAGTATTAAAAATATTGTTTTGGAAAGTTTTTAAATGAAAATTAATATTTTGAATTCAATGTTTTAAACTTGTTTAAACACAGCAACATTATAACTTACATTGTTTTTCATTTTTCACAGTTTTAAGTGTAAGTTATTAAGGATTTTGGAGCTTAAAATATCAAAATTTTGTTTCTAACAATTATGGGTATAAAAACTATCTGTACAATTTTTCAAAAATGTAATATAAAAATCATTTGCATGATTTTAATTTTTCATACTTATCTGTTTTAGATGCATTTTTAGGAGTATTCAAGAATGTTGTAGGGAATTTGAGGGATGCTGTTGATATTTATTTGGATGTCATTTGTGAAATCATTATCAGTGCTTGATGTGATTAACCGTGTGCTAACTTGTTTTCATATATTACACACAAACTCAAAGCTCAATGTTTCTGAAGCTTTTTATGCTTTGCTTTGGAAGTCTTTTCTGCTGGAGTCGAGATTTAAAAGTATGAAATATTGTTTTAACAGGTCTTTAAATGAAAATGAATATCTTGAATCCATTGTTTTAAATCTCAAACACAGCAACGTGATAACTTGCATTGGTTTTCATTTTTTACATTGTTAAGTGTAAGTTATGAAGGATTTTGGAGCTTAAAAAATCAAAATTTCGTTTCTTAACAATTACGGGCATAAAAACCATCTGCATAATTTCAAAAATTTTGTATAAAAACCTTAATTTTTCATATTATCTGGTTTAGATGCAATTTTAGGAGGATTCATGAACACTCCAGGAAATTTGAAGGATGCTGTTGATATTTGGATATCATTTGTCAAATCGTTATTGGTGCTTGATGCGATTAATTATGTGGTATCTTGTTTTCTTATATTATGCACAAACTCAAAGCTCAATGTTTTCAAAGCTTTTATGCTTTGTTTTGAAAGTCATTTTTGTTGGAATCGAGCTTTAAAAGTATGAAATATTGTTTTAGCAAGTCTTTAGATGGAAATGAATATCTTGAATCCAACGTTTTAACTCGCTTAAACACATGAACATGATAACTTGCATTGGTTTTCACTTTTTATAGTGTTAAGTGTAAGTTATAAACGATTTTGAAACTTAAAATATCAAATTTTAGTTTTTGAACAATTATGGGCATAAAAACTATCTGTATAATTTCAAAAATGTGATACAAAAATCATTTGCACGATTTTAAAATTTCAAACTTATCTACTTTAGATCCATTTTTAGGAGGATTCATGAATGCTCCAGGGAATTTGAGGGATGCTATTGATATTTGGATGTCATTTGTGAAATCGTTATCAACACTTGATGCGATTAACTATGTGCTAACTTGTTTTCATAAAATATGCACAAACTCAAAGCTCAATATTTTCTGAAGTTGGAGTCGACCTTTAAAAGTATGACATATTGTTTTAGCAAGTCTTTCAATGGAAATTAACATCATTAATCCAATGTTTTAAACTTGCTCAAACATAACAACATGATAACTTGCATTGGATTTCTTTTTTGCAGTTTTAGGTGTAAGTTATGAAGGATTTTGGAGCTTAATATATTAAAATTTTATTTCTAAACAATTATGGGCATAAAAATCATATGCACAATTTCAAATTGTGATATAAAAGTAATTTGTATGATTTTAATTTTTCATACTTAATTGCTTTAGATGCAGTTTTAGGAGTATTCATGAGTGCTCCAGGGAATTTGTGGGATGCTGTTGATATTTTCTTGTCATTTGTGAAATTGTTATCGGCGCTTGATGTGATTAACTATGTGCTAACTTGTTTTGATACATTATGCACAAACTCAAAGCTCCATGTTTTTGTAGCTTTTATGTGTTGCTTTGAAAACCGTTCCTTGCTAGAGTCGAGCTTTAAAAGTATGAAATATTGTTTTAGCAAGATTTTAGAAGGAAATGAATATCTTGAATCCAATGTTTTGAACTTGCTCAAACACAAGAACATGATAACTTGCATTGGTTTTAATTTTTGACAGTGTTAAGTGTTAGTTACGAAGTATTTTGGAGTCTAAATTATCAAAATTTCATTTCTGAACAATTATGGGCATAAAACTATCTGCACAATTTCAAATTATGATATAAAAATCATTTGCATGATTTTAATTTTCCTTATTTATTTGCTTTAGAAGCATTTTTAGGAAGATTCATGAGTGCTCCAAGGAATTCGTGGGATGCTGTTGATAAATTAAATGTTATTTGTGAAATCGTTATTGGTGCTTGATGCAATTAATTGTGTGTTAACTTGTTTTTATACATTATGCACAAATTGAAAGCTCCATGTTTTTGAAGCTTTTACATTTTCCTTTGAAAACCATTTCTGCTGGAGTCAAGCTTTAAAAGTTTGAAATATTATTTTAGCAAGTTTTTAAATGGAAATAAATATCCAGAATCTAATGTTTTAAACTTGCTCAAACACAGGAACATGATAATTTGCATTGGTTTTAATTTTTCATAGTGTTAAGTGTACGTTATGAAAGATTTTGGAGCTTAAACTATCAAAATTTCGTTTCGGTAAAATTATGGGCATAAAAACCATTTGCAAATTTTCAAATTGTGATATAAAGAACATTTGCACGATTTTAATTTTTCTTATTTATTTGCTTTAGATGCATTTTTAGGAGGATTCATGAGTGCCCCAGGGAGTTCGTGGGATACTGTTGATATTTAGATGTCATTTGTGAAATCATTATTGGCGGTTGATGCGATTAATTGTGTGCTAACTTGTTTGAATGCATTATGCACAAACTCAAAGTTCCATGTTTTTGAAGCTTTTACGTTTTGCTTTGAAAACCATTTTTGCTGGAGTCGAGCTTTAAAAGTTTGAAATATTATTTTAGCAAGCTTTTAAATGAAAATGAATATCCTGAATCCAATGTTTTAAACTTGCTCAAACACAGGAACATGATAATTTGCATTTATTTTAATTTTCCAGTGTTAAGTGTAAGTTATTAAAGATTTTGGAGCTTAAAATATCAAAATTTCGTTTTGGTAAAATTATGGGCATAAAAACCATATGCAAATTTTCAAATTGTGATATAAAAACCATTTGCACGTTTTTAATTTTTCATGTTTATTTCATTTAGATGCAATTTTTGGAGGATTCATGAGTGCTTCAGGATTTGTGGGATGTTGTTGATATTTGGATATCATTTGTGAAATCGTTATCGGTGCTTGATGCGATTAACTGTGTGCAAACTTGTTTTTATACATTATGCACAAACTCAAAGCTCCATGTTCTTGAAGCTTTTATGTTTTTCTTTGAAAACCATTTCTATTGGAGTCGAGCTTTAAAAGTTTGAAATATTATCTTAGCAAGTTTTAAATGTAAATGAATATCCTAAAACTAATGTTTTAAACTTGCTCAAACACAGAAACGTGATGACTTACATTGGTTTTCATTTTTTACAGTGTTAAGAGTAATTTATGAAGGATTTAGGAGCTTAAAATATCATAATTTCGTTTTTGAACAATTATGGGCATAAAAACCTTCTGCACAATTTCAAAAATGTGATATAAAAACAATTTGCACGATTTTAATTTTTCGTACCTATTTGCTTTAGATGCATTTTTAGGAGGATTCATGAACACTGCAGCGAATTTGTGGGATGCTGTTGATATTTGGATGCCATTTGTGAAATCATTATCGGTGCTTGATGTGATTAACTGTGTGCTATTTTTTTTCATATATTATGCACAAACCCAAAGCTCAATGTTTTTGAAGCTTTTATTTTTTGCTTTGAAAATCATTTCTGCTGGAGTTGAGCTTTAAAAGTATGACATATTTTTTTGGTAAGTATTTAATTCAGAATGAATATCTTGAATCTGTTGTTTTAAACTCGCTCAAACACAGGAACATGATAACATGCATTGGTTTTCTTTTTTCACTATGTTAAGTGTAAAGTTATG